TTGTGACATCACAAACATACTCCATACCTCCCTAATTGCAACGAGATTGTACGATTCCGATTGTGGTTAGTGTGGTGATTGTGACATCACTTTGCTGCCCATTGTCCAAATGTTACTCAACAGTGTTGCTTCACGTGCATCATGTCACTATGGTCCAAGTCAATGTATTTTTATCCATCTCCTTTGGGATGAACTGGTTCAACAGCAGCTAGTATTATCTGGTCTGTTCAGGGTTACTGAAACACAGCTAGGCCCTCTTGGCAGATCCTCCCATGGTTCATTGTCAGAGAGCATTCTGCCAATCCTCTGACCCTCTCTTCACGCTTCATAACGCTCCATTCCTCACTCAGAGGCCTGACCTAGACATAGATCTACTCTGCACATTTGTATCTTCTTACACAGTCCCACAGCCTCACTCTATAAAACCACAGAGTCCCTGATGCAGTCTGTCTTTCCCAGAAGCATGTTAATGCCCTAAGCATAAGCAGTGAGAGTGTTTATCTATCCTAAGGGTCACCGCTGATGTCCACTCTACAGACCTCTCCAGTGGGATTTTTTGGCCTTCTGATCTCAGATACAGTGGGGAAAAAAAGTATTTAGTCAGCCACCAATTGTGCAAGTTCTCCCACTTAAAAAGATGAGAGAGGCCTGTACTTTTCATTATAGGTACACGTCAACTATGACAGACAAAATGATATTTTTTTTCTCCAGAAAATCACATTGTAGGATTCTTTATGAATTTATTTGCAAATTATGGTGGAAAATAATTATTTGGTCAATAACAAAAGTTTCTCAATACTTTGTCATATACCCTTTGTTGGCAATGACAAAGGTCAAACGTTTTCTGTAAGTCTTCACAAGGTTTTCACACACTGTTGCCGGTATTTTTGGCCCATTCTTTCATGCAGATCTCCTCTAGAGCAGTGATGTTTTGGGGCTGTCGCTGGGCAACACGGACTTTCAACTCCCTCCAAAGATGTTCTATGGGGTTGAGATCTGGAGACTGGCTAGGCCACTCCAGGACCTTGAAATGCTTCTTACGAAGCCACTCCTTCGTTGCCCGGGCGGTGTGTTTGGGATCATTGTCATGCTGAAAGACCCAGCCACGTTTCATCTTCAATGCCCATGCTAATGGAAGGAGGATTTCACTCAAAATCTCACGATACATGGCCCCATTCATTCTTTCCTTTACACAGATCAGTCGTCCTGGTCCCTTTGCAGAAAAACAGCCCCAAAGCATGATGTTTCCACCCCTATGCTTCACAGTAGGTATGGTGTTCTTTGGATGCAACTCAGCATTCTTTGTCCTCCAAACACGACGAGTTGAGTTTTTACCAAAAAGTTCTATTTTGGTTTCATCTGACCATATGACATTCTCCCAATCCTCTTCTGGATCATCCAAATGCACTCTAGCAAAACTTCAGACGGGCCTGGACATGTACTGGCTTAAGCAGGGGGACACGTCTGGCACTGCAGGATTTAAGTCCCTGGCGGCGTAGTGTGTTACTGATGGTAGGCTTTGTTACTTTGGTCCCAGCTCTATGCAGGTCATTCACTAGGTCCCCCCGTGTGGTTCTGGGATTTTTGCTCACCGTTCTTGTGATCATTTTGACCCCACGGGGTGAGATCTTGCGTGGAGCCCCAGATCGAGGGAGATTATCAGTGGTCTTGTATGTCTTCCATTTCCTAATAATTGCTCCCACAGTTGATTTCTTCAAACCAAGCTGCTTACCTATTGCAGATTCAGTCTTCCCAGCCTGGTGCAGGTCTACAATTTTGTTTCTGGTGTCCTTTGACAGCTCTTTGGTCTTGGCCATAGTGGAGTTTGGAGTGTGACTGTTTGAGGTTGTGGACAGGTGTCTTTTATACTGATAACAAGTTCAAACAGGTGCCATTAATACAGGTATCGAGTGGAGGACAGAGGAGCCTCTTAAAGAAGAAGTTACAGGTCTGTGAGAGCCAGAAATCTTGCTTGTTTGTAGGTGACCAAATACTTATTTTCCACCATAATTTGCAAATAAATTCATAAAAAATCCTACAATGTGATTTTCTGGATTTTTTTCTTCTCAATTTGTCTGTCATAGTTGACGTGATGAAAATTACAGGCCTCTCTCATCTTTTTAAGTGGGAGAACTTGCACAATTGGTGGCTGACTAAATACTTTTTTTCCCCACTGTAGTTTGTCCCTGTCAGCTCCGTAGGGTTTACTGGTCAGTTTCTTCCTCAAAGGCCCTCATTCAAACCAACGTCCCCACTGGACCACCAGGGAACACACCACCCTTCTCATGTCCACTATGTAAACATTATTCTACCCCCATCTCCTCTACCTCTGAAGTCCTTTTAACACCTAAAATAAGATCAAAACTGGCAGAGATTACAATTTCACATAGAATGCTTAGGTTACATGTGGTTTGAAGTAAGATGCAAGGAATGTCATGCAATTTATTTGCAGTAAAAAAATAATTTGTTTTCTAGTTTCCCACAGCAGTTTTGCCTTACGAGCTCAATTACATTATTAATCACTGTCATAATAGCTATAATCAGAGTTGACTCCGTGAACCAAGTGACACGTGCACCGCTGTCACCAGATTCGACACTCATCATCGTACAGTCTTCATCCGTGACACTGAGGTGACTTGTGCTCATAAATATTGATGTGTGGTTTCCCGGGTAGCCAGTCACTCTCTGAGTGTTGTGACGCATGGCCTTGTGGGATGGCGTGACCTCTAGGCTCTGGCGCTCCCGCCACCGTCCCCAGTGGATCAGCGGGCCTGGGAAGGTTTCACATTAACACTGTGGGAACTTGAACTGTACTGTACACCAGTGACACAGAGGGGGTGAAGTGTGTGTGTGCGTGGGGGTGTGTGCATGTGTGCTTGTGAGTATCTTTGTGAATGTGTGTGTGCATGCTTGCCAGTAAGTGTGCCTGCATGTGTGTGTGTGTGTGTGTGTGTGTGTCTGCATCACCATGAGCCTGAGAGTGTGAGATAACAAAAAAAATACTGAAACGGGAATCAATCAAAACATTTATTTTTTTTACCTTTATTTAACCAGGAAAGCCAGTTGAGAACAAGTTCTCATTTACAACTGCGACCTGGCCAAGATAAAGCAAAGCAGTGCGATAAAAACAACAACACAGAGTTACATATGGGGTAAACAAAACATAAAGTCAAAAATACAAACAAAAATACAAACAAAAATACAAACATGACACAGGGCCCTAGCTAGCCTAGAACCAGGAGGATGGAGACTGGGGAGGAAATGTACGAGTCATGTTGTTGGAATGGTTTAAGGGTTTCAGTTTGGGGAATGGAAGTGCTTTCTTTACACAGGCTTCAAGCTCTAAAGATACACTGTATCTATGTTTGAGTAACTGTTAGCTGGGTAGTCAAGGGATTTAACATTATGACAAATTCATCTTATTTATATAGAACCTTTCATAGGCTACAATACCCAAAGTGCTTTACAGTAAGCTTTACAGTAAGCTTTAGAGTAAGCAAACTAACACTAATACTTTTTTCAGCACGTTTTATTATTCTGTTGTTTACTTCTAACAGAACAATTTACAGTATTTCAACCTGAATATAATGTATGGGACAATGAATGAAAGTTTGCCTTGTGCCACAGTTGTATCATGATTAGATTAGAAGTTGGAGAAGTTTACTACACATGCTTTTAATAGTACACTTTCAGTCATCCAGTTCAAAATAGAAATAAACACAATTTAGTGCCCCAAATAATTGTAAAGGTCTTTTTTTTTTTATCCACTGACTCCTTCAAAGGATTCCTCATCCTTCTCCTCCCTCTATTCCCAAGGCTCCTTTCTTCCGCCCTCTCTCCGTTTCCCACCCTCGTCCTGCGTACAGGCCTGTGATCTATCTTGAACTGTTTCCAGACGCCTGCTTCTGCTCCCCTTAACCCCCCCTCCACTTCTACCACAACAACAACCACTCCTCCTTTTCTCCTCCCCTCCTCCCCTGCATCCCTCCTTCCGTCACATTCTCTATGTTCTAGATCCCTCCCTCTGTCTTCCAAGATTATGATACAGTGTTTACTCAGGAATACTTTCCTGCTCTCTTATTGGCTGTACGTGGTCAGTGAGAGATGAGCCATGCCACCTTTGACCCATATTGACCTCTGACATAATGTTGAAGCTTAAGTGATGACACTGCCTTTAAAGTAACAAAATCTGTCTGCGTCTCGAATGTCACCAAAGGGGTCTGGTAGTGAACTATACGGGGGAATGTCACCAAAGGGGTCTGGTAGTGAACTATACGGGGGAATGTCACCAAAGGGGTCTGGTAGTGAACTATACGGGGGAATGTCACCAAAGGGGTCTGGTAGTGAACTATACGGGGGAATGTCACCAAAGGGGTCTGGTAGTGAACTATACAGGGGAATGTCACCAAAGGGGTCTGGTAGTGAACTATACGGGGGAATGTCACCAAAGGGGTCTGGTAGTGAACTATACAGGGGAAGATTTTGCCACAGCGTTGAGTTTTAAAACACGAAGCTACACATTGTATCACCATAGCACCCCATCAGTATATAAACAAAACCCCAAATAGGGTTTGTTGTTGCTGTTTTGTGGCCGCCTCTATTGCCTAATTACATTTGTTTACTTGGAATCCAATTAGTGGTTCGACATGACAGTTGAATAGTTTTAGACCCAGCAGCATTGTTGCTGACTGAGTGTTGAGGAGCTGCACACACTGACCTGTTTGTTAGTTGGACAGAACACTGGCAAAAACAAGAACAAAAACTCTCCGACATTGTTCTGTCCGTGTTCAGCGAGCCATCACATACCTCTCCTGTGAACTCATTCAGAACATAGAACCAGGAATGTTGTGTACAGAACTCACATCTCTTTATTGAGAGGGGAGTGACCTTCCATTGTATTCTAAGAGCCACATCTATTCTGTTTATTCTATCTCTATGATTAGACCTGTGCTCTTTCTGTGGCAAACAGTATTTTTGGATAAGGAACAGATTGTGTAGTCATGACATGTGATTTATATTGTAAGCTCCCCTCTTGGTTAGCCCTAACCCTGTTGGTCTTCCAGGGGTAAAAGACATCCTTCATGATATGAACGTTGTATATGTGAGGAGATATTATTGAGATGTTATGAGTTCAGAATGTTCAGACCAACCGTGAGTCCTGCTCTCCCCATGTCCAGAGCTCTGAGCTGTCATCATGACTGAGCTCACTGGTTAACCAGCGTAGGAGGGAACAACACCCGAACACTAGCCTTGGAGTCGTCTATATCTCTCTCTCAATCAGCTTGTTTGTCAAATCAGCCTTTGACTGTAAATCAGCCTTTGACTATGAATCAGCCTTTGACTGTGAATCAGCCTTTGCCTGTAAATTAGCCTTTGACTATAAATCAGCCTTTGACTGTGAATCAGCCTTTGATTGTGAATCAGCCTTTGATTGTGAATCAGCCTTGGACTGTAAATCAGCCTTTGATTGGGTGGGGAGTGTGTGTGTAGTTTTGTCTTTAACGCATGGGTAAATCTCAATATACTGGAAGGAATGCAGTGAAGAAAAACAAGGGCTATCATGTAGACTACAATATTCACAGTGTTTTTGTTTTGAATCTGTTTGCAGAATACATCTCTCCTGTAGCCTGTCACCATGAGGACTGTCAGAGTGTCCACTCTCCATCTGACAGCCCTACTAACAGGTGAGAGGAACAAGCTAATGAAATATCATAAAAAATATACTGTATAACATAATTAGGGCCTGGGTCTTTCCTGGTCAGGTTACGTGGTAGGGGAAAAACGCCTGGCCCTAGTATCCAGCTAACTTGCCATTGAGATTGTTGGCATTGTTCTTTAATATGGAAGGCAAAGAGCGTTTATCAGCTTAAAAAGATCATTATTGTCCGTCCTCCCTTCACCTCCAGACTCTTCACATCCCTCATCACTGTGTAATTGGATGGATTTCTGAGTTGTTATTGCTATCTTAACCTTTGACCCTTGACCTGGGGATCTAGCTGTTCGACCCCAAACCTGACCTTTCCTTGTTTGTGTTGACTGCAGCTCTTCTGCACCTATGCCCTGAGTACCGTTGCGTGGAGATCTCCCCTAGCAACAGCGAGGTCATCATGACACCGGGCGACTCCATGATCTTCACCTGTTCCAGCTGGGGGACGGTCGGATGGAGGTTCAAGCGGGATGAAGACATTCCCTATTTTGGAGTGGAGAACCAAAACACAACCAGTGTTCTCATTCTGGACAACGTGACGTGGAGACACACAGGAGTGTACGTCTGTGCCGAGGCTTGGACTGACGAGGCTAGAGAGGTGGCTGTCTTTGTGCAGGGTGAGAATAACTTTACACTCTGTCACAGCTAATAACCTACACAGTTAGGTTAGCTTAGTCAAATGTTTTGTTCATAATTCCCAGGCAAATATTGTATCTTGTAACAGCGATCTCAGCTCTTAGGCCTTAAAAACTTGGTTCAATCATGATATGAAGTAAATCTTATTTTCTCTCTCATGGTGTGAAATGATTCCTCTTATCCCTCCAGCTAATTGTTCCTCTCCCTCTCCTCCACACAGACCCTGATGTGTGGTTCATTGAGAGCTCCCACGGCATGGTGACCAAGACCAGCGAGGAGGGGACCATCCCCTGTGTGGTCACCAATCCCAGAATCAACGTCACCCTCTACGAGAGGGACAGTGACATTCACCTGAAGGGGGTCTACATCCCCAGTGAGGGCTACAAGGCAGCCCTGGAGGACAGGACCTATGTGTGTCGTGGGGAGCTGAACGGGGAGGAGAAAGAGTCCCAGGCCTTCTACGTCTTCAGTATTGTTGGTGGGTACCTGGAAGGGGCATGGGGTTGGAGATGGGGCTGGTATAGAGAAGAACACTATTGTCTGCTCAAACCTATAGCTTGTAATTACATGCTCTGTACTGTATGGCATTGTTGATGTGCATGTCTGGATTTAACAAAGTATTGCAGTATTGCACAAGGGTATTAATCTATTGGTGTCACTTAAAAGGCTATCAAGCTGTTGTATCTCAGTTTCAAAAATAACAATGAACTCTCCCTCCCCTTCCTCTCTGCCTACCTCCCTCCCCTTCCTCTCTGCCTCCCTCCCTCCCTCCCCTCCCTCCCCTTCCTCTCTGCTCCCTCCTCCCCTTCCCGCCCCTTCCTCCCCTCCCTCCCCCTCCCTCCCCTTCCTCTCTGCCCCTCCCCTCCTCTCTCCTCCCCTCCCTCCCCTTCCTCTCTGCCTCCTCCCTCCTCCCCTTCCTCTCGCTTCCTCCCTCCCCTTCCTTCTGCCTCCCTCCATCCCCTTCCTCTCTGCCTCCCTCCTTCCCCTTCCCTCTCCTCCCTCCCTCCCTCTCTGTTTCCCTATCCCTCCCCTTCTCTCTGCCTCCCTCCCCTCCTCATCTCTTGCCTCCCTCCCTCCCTCCTCTATGCCCCCTCTCTGCTCTGCCTCCCTCCCTCCCCTTCCTCTCTGCCTCCCTCCCTCCCTCCCCTCCCTCCCCTCTCCCTCCCTCCTTCCCTTCCTCTCTGCCTCCCTCCCTCCCTCCCCTTCCTCTCTGCCTCCCTCCCCTTCCTCTCTGCCTCCCTCCCTCCCCTCCCTCCCTTCCTCTCTTCTCCCTCCCTCCCTCCCCTCCCTCCCTCCTTCCTCTCGCCTCCCTCCCTCCTCCCCTTCCTCTCTGCCTCCCCCCTCCCCTTCCTCTCTGCCTCCCTCACTCCCCTGCTCTCTCCCTCCCTCCTCCCTCCCTTCCTCTCTCTTCTCCTTTCTCCCTCTCTCTCCACACACTTCCCGAATTAGTCCCGGAGACAATCGACGCCTACGTCAATGCGTCTAAGACGGTGCTGAAGCAGGGCGAGCCTCTGACAGTGAACTGCACGGTGCACGGAGTGGAGCTGGTCTTCTTCTCCTGGGACTACCCCAACAGAGACGTGAGTGGGAGAGAAGAGAGAAGAAGAGAACATGGCCTTTTGTTTGACTTTCCCTTCACTCGTCCCGGGGAGGCGTAGACTAAATTACATCAAGATGTCTGTTCAGCCACACCTAGATGTGTTAAATCCCCATTGAATCTCACTCACAACAGACACATGGTTTTCATATCATTATTGATAATACAGTACATTTATGGTGGTGAAAGTGTTTTAAGTTTGAATGCACAGACACTGACATAATACTTATACAAGTGTATAAAATCAACACTTCCTGTTAAACTTGTAGAATCTTATATTACTTAAATAGGAATAACCGCAAGAAGATCTTTTGAGTTGAAAAAAAGAATCCCTTTATAATAAAGCATTGCATGCATCTATAAACTCATTTGCGTAATGGGATACAGTTGAGCAGAGGCGTTTTTAGAATTTCCACATATGGGGAAACGTTTTTAGCAGGGTAAAAAAAAAAAGGTTATATAAACGCATTTCATGCAATTCTACAACATTTATGATAGAAGACATTAGTAGAATATTTTTAAATACCACAAATGACCGCAATGAGTGTCTACTCTGACAGTGACGAACTGAGGGCAATAAAAACGACCTGGTCTTGAATGCAAACAGGCCGATGAAGAGACACACAGATTGTAAGTATTATTAGGAATATATATATTATAGGCTTCAGTAGGCTACTAAATAAACGTTCCAGTGGCACTGGCTAACCCAGTGTTGACGATGAAGCCTAGCTTACTCACTACTGCTGTTCGCTCAGAATTGCTCAAAAGTTGTTGAGATAAAAATGGTTAGCAGACAGATTAGTCTTCTCTTTTCAGCAGTAGGCATATGCTTTCCAAACTGTAAATTTTTCTCGCAATTGTATTTTGAAATTTGCGAAAGGGAAACTGACACCTGCAACCAACCATAGAAATATTGTACATAGATGGCAGTTCCCATTCAAGTCAGGCCTGGCGGCCATTGCAGCGTACCCATGTGTTTAAAGGAAAACTCCACCCAAAAACTATATTTTGGTATTTGTTTCATTAGACCATTGTTGATATAGTCCCAAAATGTTTTGCATGTCAGCAATCACATTTTCAAGATATATAACTTTCAAAATACTGAAATACAGCCGGTATGATGCATTTTGCCGGCTGTATTTCAGTATTTTGAAAGTTATATATCTTGAAAATGTGATTGCTGACATGCAAAACATTTTGGGACTACCAAAATATCGTTTTTGTGTGGAATTTTCCTTTAACAGGCAAATTGCCAGGGTTAGAGGTTCCAAAACCCTTCTATAGATGATATGTCTATTGCCACAATGGAACAAAGTTGCTATTTTCTAATGTAATTTGGGGAAATGTATTTCAATTTATCAGGGGGTGCTGCAGCACCTCTAGCAACCGTACTTCCCGCGGCTATGATTACTTAGTTGGTACTTCAATAGCCTTCTCACAGACCTAAACATTTACTGATGCATCCCTTTACTCTCCTGTGTTTGCCAGGTGGACTCCATTGAGCCGTTGACCGACGTCCTGTCGTCCCAGAGCATGCGCTCCTGCCTCATCTTCTCTAAGGCGACGCTGGCCAACGCAGGGCAGTACGTGTGTCACGTTCACGAGGGTGTCCAGGACCAGAGTGCCACCGCCAACGTCAACATCACTATCCTCGGTGAGAAGGAGACAGGGAGAGACTCTCTCAAAACAAACTATGACTGGATTGCTTATTATTATGGGTCTTTTTTAGACTGAAAGAGCACCATTCATAACATGAACCCCCATGCACTAGGTGAGAGAGAATTCTGTTCAAATAAACCACATTTGATTTATTTTCCTTTTTCATGTAGCTTGCTATTGTCACTGAGAAAACAAGCATCTGTGTTTTGTGTGAGACCACCATCAATTAAAATCAAATAATATAGAATTATTATTTTTGATAACATTAATGGACAAAATTCTCCAATCTGAGGGTTTGTATAGAATCGGAAACAGCAGTGCAAACTGGAAATGTATTTTATCTGTGTTTTTAACTTCTGAAGTTACTTCAAATAATTAAAAGTCATTCAATTTAATTGCAGCTAACAAGCTGCAAATTGGAAGTCAACAGAATGTTTTTTGAAGGGTAAACCCAACATTTCTCTCTTTCACCTTCTCCGTCTTTGAGGATTGGATGTAGCCTAAGCTACAGTCGTGCCTCTGTGAATGCTTAGCCTAAGCCCACTGAGGTGTGTTATATTTAGGCCACAGTAACCAAGCATGTATAAACTGCCTTATTCAGAGCCAGGGTATGCTTGCTGTGATTCTGTCTCTCTCCAGGGCTCTGGACCAATGCTCTGGACAGCCCTTTGGAAATGACAGATCCTCATTCCAACCAGTTCAATAGAGCACATAATAACCACCTCATTGTATACAGTACAGTACACTGTAACTAATCAGCAATAAACTGAATACAGTGCATTTAATACAAGGTACTTTTGATATCATGGTATATAGGTTATCCCATACTGTGTACCAGAATATAGGAGCACTGGGTATAGAATTATGGATCACGATGTAAAGGCTTAATGATTTCTTCCCTTGCCTGGGTGCCAGTCTTTCTGTTTGATCCTATTAGTCTATTTCTTCCCTCCTGCAGGCCACATGTTCTTTCAGGATGTAAACAGAGGTGCTCTACTTATTATGTGGTCACTAATGACAACCTTTCTCCTCCGTCAGAGCGAGGCTTTGTGGAGCTGAGGTCTGTCCAGGAGCGTAACGTCTCGGCACAGCTGCACCAGAATGTAGAGCTGAGGTGGAGATAGAGGCCTACCCCGCTCCACATGTCCGCTGGACCAAAGACAACGCCACCGTCAATGGAGACAACACTGTCATCACCAGGCAGGAGCACGAGACCAGGTCAGACCACCTGGACGACGATCAATTCTAACCAATTTGGAGATTGAATTTATCAATAAGTTGGTCTATTTGTCGTTGCATGAAATCAAAACAACAGATCAACAGGATTTACAATCACACTTGCATGGTATGCAATGCATCACGTTAGCCACTCATTGGGGAATTTACCCTCTCAGAGATGGTCTTAGCCAGTCTCTGGTTCCTGCTGGGTGTTAAATGATGTAGTCTTGCTGTCTGAGAGGATTGGGTTACCTGCTGCTCTTATCTGGTGTTGACTGATAGGGACTGGATGTCTCAGAAGGTCTTAGGGTCTTACAGATGTTGATGGATTGTTTAAGATGATTTAGTCCTGCTAAAATATGGTTTATCCAGGATGTGATTTCATGACGTTTCTAACGGTGTGGTTCTCCTTTACTCTTCTAACTCAGGTACGTCAGCATGTTGACCTTGGTGAGGATCAGGACGGAACAGAAGGGACTTTACACTGTTCTTGTCGCCAACGGAGATGACACCAAGGAAGTGACATTTGATCTGGAGGTCAAAGGTGAGTCGCCTTCACAGCAATATAAACCATTGGGGTGTATCTCATTAGTCTTATGTGACTCCTCCTTTTCGTCATCAGCACTGATTTGAAAGAACTACATCCACCATGGTCCATTGCTTTCACCCTCCCTACGCTTTGAGATCAGTGCAAATTAAGGAGAGGTGATGAGGATAAAAGGTCAATTTAGACTTAAGACTATGGAGAGGCAACCGTGGCTCAACATTTACCTATACTTATCATCTAGAGTAGTTCCTAACCCTGTATCCCTCTCTGTGTAGTCCCCCCTCAGATCACAGACCTGTCGGACCACCACCTCCCAGGGAAGAGGCATGCAGTGACCTGTGTGGCCGAGGGGGTCCCCTCCCCCTCCATCCAGTGGTTCAGCTGTGACAGCATGCTCAAGTGAGTATCATCATCCTCATCATCATCATCACAGTGTCTGGGACTCTGTCACACTGTGAACACTAGAGGGCACACTTTGCTGACACTAGTTTTTGCTGTTTGTGTTTTAGTAATTGCAGTTTAAACTGATGTCAGGCCAACTATGGGTTATTAGACTGCTTCTATACCCGAGTCTGCTCTGAGTGCATTAGCTGGCAGCATTTACCTCTGACACACCTGAGTAGAGGTAGCAGTAGTAGTACACCTGTACTACTGGACTATTGATTATCGTTGTAACATCTCTCCTAGGTGCAGTAACCGGAGCACAGTGTGGCAGCCCCTGGTGTCAGACCCTGAGACCCTGAGTGTCCAGACCAACATCAGTTTCAATGAGAGCCGTAAGGTGGGCCAGGTCCGCAGCCAGGTCACCTTCCACAAGACCCAGCAGGTGACCATCCGCTGCGAGGCCAGCAACGAGGGAGGAGTCCGCAGGAGGGACATCAAACTGGTGTCCAGCAGTACGTATCTCAAATATAAGACACAATATTGATGTTATTATATGAAGACATTATTTTATATATGGGGTTCTATGTATTTACATACACATACTGTATTCAAGGAAGGATCAAGTAGGCAACTCAAGTCCTGAATAGTTGCAGGGTATGCAGCCTCTTGGTTCCAGTCCAGTACTAACAAATCTGATAATTAATAGTTTATGTTCTAGGTGAATGTTATACTAGGAATAAATGTTCTTTGTAGACTTCTGTCTGTCTATAATGTAATAGTTGGATGTTAATATTCCGTGTTGTGTTCCAGCTCTGTTCTCCCAGGTGGCAGTGTTGGCTGCGGTTCTACCCCTGGTGGGCATCCTCATCATCTCCATCATCATCCTCATCGCTGTGTGGAGGAAGGTGAGACTACACAGAGAAGACACAGTGAACAATGTTAAAACAACTATGCACAATGCAGTACTGCTACTAACTCACTCATGGTATCTCAATGTCCCTGAGTGATTGGGTAACTCTATTCTGTGTTGCCTCAGAAGCCTCGCTATGAGATCAGGTGGAAGGTGATAGAGTCGGTGAGTTTGGACGGCCATGAGTACATCTACGTCGACCCCATCCACCTGCCCTACGACCTGGCCTGGGAGATGGCCCGAGACAGCCTGGTGCTGGGTAAGGACCAGGAACCACCGGAGAAGGGGGTACCAATGTACAATATACACTGCAGTGGTGGTCGGTGCCGTTTAGTTATTTTTTTGAGTATGGCCTTATTTCTATTACAGCATATTGGATGACTGTCATTCATATTCCATTCACCCAGCTCAATGTAACATCGATAGGTTTAGGCTACTACATGATACTCAAATGTTCCATATACCCATCATGAGGTTGCTACAACCTAGCCTAAGAATGATAGTTTACAACATAGTTGCACAGGTCGAGAGAAATTTGAATAATCAAGGTGACAGACATTGACACATTCAATACCGCCTTGCACACTCTTGCCTGCATCTAGCTAATCTGGGGTGTAATCATTAGTCCAGCAGTTGCAAACAAGAGTTTCTGTTGGAAAAATTCAGGTATGTTTATCGCCGTTTCATTCCGTTTGCTTCCGTTTAAGAAACATTTTCAACAGAATCTGCGGAATGAATACCCCCCTGATCATACGCAAACACAGTTCACTTTCATAGCAGCCACATACAAACAGCATGATTCATTTGGACATTGTATAATTATTTCTCGCATCTAAGCACTCAACTCCTCTCACCATTTCCCTTAGCTTGTGGACTTCAGTGCACGACACATCAGCTGTCTGTGACAAGGCGAAAAAACCTTTCCAAGCAAACCTTCATATCATAACCGCTAACTGCTAAACACAGCCTACATCGTTGTCACCATATTAACGTCATAGTCAACATACACAATATATACAAAAGTATGTGGACACCCCTTCAAATTAGTGGATTAAGCTATTTCAGCCACACCCATTGCTGACAGGTGTATAAATTCGAGCACCCAGCCATGCAATCTCCATAGACAAACACTGGCAGTAGAATGGCCTTACTGAAGAGCTCAGTGACTTTCAACGTGGCACCGTCATAGGATGCCACCTTTCCAACAAGTCAGTTCATCAAATTTCTGCCTTGCTAGAGCTGCCCCGGTCAACTGTAAGTGCTGTTATTGTGAAGTGGAAACATCTAGGAGCAACAACGGCTCAGCAGCGAAGTGGTAGGCCACACAAGCTCACAGAACGGGACCGCCGAGTTCTGAAGCGTGTAGCGCGGAAAAATCGTCTGCCCTCGGTTGCATCACTCTCTACCGAGTTCCAAACTGCCTCTGGAAGCAACGTCAGCACAATAATTGTGCGTCGGGAGCTTCATGAAATAGGTTTCCATGGCCAAGCAGCCGCACACAAGCCTAAGTTCACCATGCGCAATGCCAAGGGTTGGCTGGAGTGGTGTAAAGCTCGCTGCCATTGGACTCTGGAGCAGTGGAAATGCGTTCTCTAGAGTGATGAATCACCCTTCACCATCTGTCAGTCCAACGGACGAATCTGGGTTTGGCGGATGCCAGGAGAACACTACCTGCCCCAATGCATAGGGCCAACTGTAAAGTTTGGTGGAGGAGGAATAATGGTCTGGGGCAGTTTTTCATGGTTCGGGCTAAGCCCCTTAGTTCTAGTGAAGGGAAATCTTAATGCTATAGCATACAATGACATTCTAGACAATTCTGTGCTTCCAACTTTGTGGCAACAGTTTGGGGAAGGCCCTTTCCTGTTTCAGCATGACAATGCCCCCGTGGACAAGGCGAGGTACATACAGAAATGGTTTGTCGAGATCGGTGTGGAAGAACTTGACTGGCCTGCACAGAGCCCTGACCTCAATCCCATCGAACACCTTTGGGATGAATTGGAACGCCGACTGCGAGCCAGGCCTAATCGCCCAACATCAATGGTCGACCTCACTAATGCTCTTGTGGCTGAACGGAAGCAGGTCCCTGCAGCAATGTTCCAACATCTAGTGGAAAGCCTTCCCAAAAGAGTGGAGGCTGTTATAGTAGCAAAGGCAGGACCAACTCCATATTAATGCCCATGATTTAGGAATGAGATGTTCGAAGAGTAGGTGTCCACATACTTCTGGCCATGTAGTGAAAAAAAAAAATGTGTGTACCTACTAGAACTAACGTGTTAGTAAACCCGCTACAATCATGCAGTTCAAAAAATCAAATCAAAATCTAATCAAATCAAATGTTTTTGTCACATATGCCAAATACAACAGGTGTAGACCTTACAGTGAAATACTTACTTACAAGCCCTTAACCAACAATGCAGTTTTAAGAAAATAGAGTTAAGAAAATATTTACTAAATAAACTAAAGTAAAAAGAAAAAAAAAGGAACACAATAAAATCACAATAATGTGACTATATACAGGGATACCGGTACCGAGTCAATGTTCGGGGGTACAGGTTAGCCAAGGTAATTTGTACATGTAGGTAGAGGTAGGTAGGGTTGAGGTAATTTGTACATGTGAAAGTGAAAGTGAAAAAAATACAACTAAATCTCTCTCTCTCTTTCTCTTGCTTCTCCTTCATTTTTAAATAAATACATTTGTTCAAAACTGTTCAACTATTGTCTTTCTCTCTCTTTGAGTCAACTACTCATCACATTTTATGCGCTGCATTGCTAGCTAGCTGTAGCTTATGCTTTCAGTGTTATATTCATTCTCTGATCCTTTGATTGGGTGGATAACATATCAGTTGATGCTGCAAGAGCACGGATAGGTTGGAGGACGTCTTCCGGATGTTGTCATAGTTACTATGTAAGTCTATGGAAGGGGGTGAGAATTATGAGCCTCCTAGGTTTTGTATTACAGTCAATGTACTCAGAGGAAGATGGAAACTAGCTGTCCTCCTGCTAAACAATGGTTCTACCCTACAGAGTGCTGTTAAGGCTACTGTAGACCTTAATTGCAAAACAGTGTGTTTTAATAAATTGTTTGGTGACGTGAATATACTGTATTTCATATAGTTTTATCTAAACAGGATAACTTTTTTTTAAATACTACGTTTTTATTTTTATGAAATTCACTGAGGAGGATGGTCCTCCCCTTCCTCCTCTGAGAAGCCTCAACTGATACACAGGATGTCTATGCGGATACCCCCAATATTTATTTGATAGTGTATTTAATAGGGACAATACAAGTTAAAACATTGACATATTGACTGTTCTGATTTGGGCAATGCTTGTGTTGTGTTCCAGGTCGTACTCTTGGGTCCGGGGCGTTCGGCAGGGTGGTCGAGGCGACCGCCTACGGTCTCGGTCATTCCCAGTCCAGCACAAAAGTGGCAGTGAAAATGCTCAAATGTAAGCGATAACAATTATCTTCAGATGCAGCTTTAAACAAGTATGTTTCTGCTTTAGCCAACTTGTTGTTGGTTTGTTTGGTTAGACAACAATCCAGTTTCAGTCTTGTTTCATGTTCTCTGACCTTTGTGTCCTCTGACCTCTGACCACCAGCCACGGCCAGGAGGAGTGAGACCCAGGCTCTGATGTCAGAGCTGAAGATCATGAGCCACCTGGGGCCTCACCTCAACATCGTCAACCTGCTGGGAGCCTGCACCAAACAGGGTGAGCTCCGCCCCCATCACCACAGCAACAATCGCAACCTAAAGTCATTAGCCTCTGAAATCCCATACCTAGGGCAACAGCATGTATACTGGAGCATGGTTAATGTGGGAGGCAACCCATCTGCCTAAGGAGACTATAACGTCATAGCTACTAACTTTAATTTTGATTAAGCACATAATTGCATGTGTATCATCCAGGCTCTGTCGCAGCCGGCCGCGACCGGGAGACTCATGGGCGGCGCACAATTGGCCCAGCATCGTCCAGGGTAGGGGGAGGGAATGGCCGGCAGGGATGTAGCTCAGTTGATAGAGCATGGCGTTTGCAACGGCAGGGTTGTGGGTTCGATTCCCACGGGGGGCCAGTATAAAAAAATAATAATTTATATATGTATTCACTAACTGTAAGTCGCTCTGGATAAGAGCGTCTGCTAAATGACTAAAATGTAAATGTAAATGTAACACACAAATTATTCCCTGGTGAAGATAAATAATTGTCATTTTTTGTGACTTCCACATCTCAGGCCCTCTCTACCTGGTGACGGAGTACTGTCGCTATGGAGACCTGGTGGACTACTTACACAGGAACAAGCACACGTTCCTGCAGTACTACGCTGAAAAGAACCAGGAGGACTCTGGTTGCAGAGTCTCTGGAGGGAGCACCCCTCTCAGTCAGAGGAAAGGGTGAGAGCTACCTCCTCATGCGGTTCAGGTCTTTGTTTGGAAGATAAAGTAGAGGTTATATTGGCCAGGGGTGGATCAAGTATAACCACATATGAATGGGAGAAAAAAAAGACATTCACTGTCAATTACAAAAATGAGGCCATACATACATTGAATATATATACAGTGGGGAGAACAAGTATTTGATACACTGCCGATTTTGCAGGTTTTCCTACTTACAAAGCATGTAGAGGTCTGTAATTTTTATCATAGGTACACTTCAACTGTGAGAGACGGATTCTAAAACAAAAATCCAGAAAATCACATTGTATGATTTTTAAGTAATTAATTTGCATTTTATTGCATGACAAAAGTATTTGATACATCAGAAAAGCAGAACTTAATATTTGGTACAGAAACCATTGTTTGCAATTACAGAGATCATACGTTTCCTGTAGGTCTTGACCAGGTTTGCACACACTGCAGCAGGGATTTTGGCCCACTCCTCCATACAGACCTTCTCCAGATCCTTAAAGTTTCGGGGCTGTCGCTGGGCAATACAGACTTTCAGCTCCCTCCAAAGATTTTCTATTGGGTTCAGGTCTGGAGACTGGCTAGGCCAACCAGGACCTTGAGATGCTTCTTACGGAGCCACTCCTTAGTTGCCCTGGCTGTGTGTTTCGGGTCATTGTCATGCTGGAAGACCCAGCCACGACCCATCTTCAATGCTCTTACTGAGGGAAGGAAGTTGTTAGCCAAGCTCTCGCGATACATGGCCCCATCCATCTTCCCCTCAATACGGTGCAGTCGTCCTGTCCCCTTTGCAGAAAAGCATCCCCAAAGAATGATGTTTCCACCTCCATGCTTCACGGTTGGGATGGTGTTCTTGGGGTTGTACTCATCCTTCTTCTTCCTCCAAACACGGCGAGTGGAGTTTAGACCAAAAAGCTATATTTTTGTCTCATCAGACCACATGACCTTCTCCCATTCCTCCTCTGGATCATCCAGATGGTCATTGGCAAACTTCAGAGGGGCCTGGACATGCGCTGGCTTGAGCAGGGGGACCTTGCGTGCGCTGCAGGATTTTAATCCATGATGGCGTAGTGTGTTACTAATGGTTTTCTTTGAGAATGTGGTCCCAGCTCTCTTCAGGTCATTGACCAGGTCCTGCCGTGTAGTTCTGGGCTGATCCCTCACCTTCCTCATGATCATTGATGCCCCACGAGGTGAGATCTTGCATGGAGCCCCAGACCGAGGGTGATTGACCGTCATCTTGAACTTCTTCCATTTTCTAATAATTGCGCCAATAGTTGTTGCCTTCTCACCAAGCTGCTTGCCTATTGTCCTGTAGCCCATCCCAGCATTGTGCAGGTCTACAATGTTATCCCTGATGTCCTGACACAGCTCTCTGATCTTGGCCATTGTGGAGAGGTTGGAGTCTGTTTGATTGAGTGTGTGGACAGGTGTCTTTTATACAGGTAACGAGTTCAAACAGGTGCAGTTAATACAGGTAATGAGTGGAGAACAGGAGGGCTTCTTAAAGAAAAACTAACAGGTCTGTGAAAGCCGGAATTCTTACTGGTTGGTAGGTGATCAAATACTTATGTCATGCAATAAAATGCAAATTAATTACTTAAAAATCATACAATGTGATTTTCTGGATTTTTGTTTTAGAATCCGTCTCTCACAGTTGAAGTGTACCTATGATAAAAATTACAGACCTCTACATGCTTTGTAAGTAGGAAAACCTGCAAAATCGGCAGTGTATCAAATACTTGTTCTCCCCACTGTATATATTTTATTTTTTCATTATCCTAATGTGTCCCAAATATCTTGGCAGCTACGTGTTATTTGGCAGTGAGTTTGACGGTGGCTACATGGACATGAGTAAGGACGAGCCCACGGTGTACGTCCCCATGCAGGAGCTGAAAGACACAATCAAATACACTGACATCCAGCCTTCTCCCTACGAGTCTCCCTACCATAACCACCTTTACCAGGAACAAGGTCCAAGAAATACATGCTAATAACAAAGCCAAAGCGTACTGTATACTTTGTATAATGTAGGTCTATTGAATGGGAGCCTGGTATAGGAGGACTGTCTCATTGTAATGGCTGGAATGGAATATCAAGCACATCAAACATATGGAAACCACATGTTTGACTCCATTCCATTAAATCCATTTCACCCATTACAATGAGCCCGTCCTCCTATAGCTCCTCCCACCAGCCTCCACTTGTCTATTGCATGCCAGACATATGGGAAGCACATGTGAAAGGATGGGCGGCTGACGGGCAAACAGGAAAGAACAGTGTTATTGTTTATTTGACCTCCAGAAGCCTCTCTGTGTATTTTAGCATGTAGACGTCACTATTCACATACTGTATATACTGTCCATGTGTAGCACCTGAACACCTATTCACCTTTACATTGTCTCCTTCCTCTTTTTGACCTCTGAACCCTTCCATCCATGTTTCTGCCCTCCCTCCAGACCAGACCACAGTGGACAGTGCCCTGTTCATCAGTGACTCCCCCACCCTCAGCTATTCTGACCTCATCGGCTTCAGCTACCAGGTGGCCAAGGGTATGGAGTTCCTCGCCTCCAAGAACGTATGTTATGTTATGTTGTATTATTTTAGTTGAATCAAAACTTTATTGCTCTATATTTATGTATTATTCTTTATTGTGCCAGGTAATTAAAGTACAGAGCAGCATATAGAATATACTTCATTATCTGTACTAAATGTCCCAGCTGACCATGTCTCCCTGTAACCCTGTTGTTGAATCCTGTCCTCCCCAGTGTGTCCATCGTGACCTGGCTGCCAGGAATGTGTTGATCTGTGAGGGGAAACTGGTGAAGATCTGTGACTTTGGCCTGGCCAGAGACATCATGCACGACTCCAACTACGTCTCCAAAGGCAGCGTGAGTGCCAGGCTCACTCAGGGTCACTCAGGGTCACTCAGGGTCACTCAGGCTCACTCAGGGTCACTCAGGGTCACTCATACACATGAAACATTACATTACCATTATGGTAACCACTACGTAAAGTTTGAAAGATAACAGCAAGATAACACCATAGATTACGACCTTCAACCTACTTCAATTGTAATTAGCCATAACTGCTGCTGTTACTTCTCAGTACCTGGCTGATGTTAATCTTACCTCTGACCTCTTCCCCCTCTCAGACGTTCCTTCCTCTGAAGTGGATGGCCCCAGAGAGTATTTTCCATAACCTGTACACCACCCTGAGTGATGTGTGGTCCTATGGCATCCTGCTCTGGGAGATTTTCACCCTGGGTACGAGGACATACATGAAACAGAAACCATTAATTATTAATAGATAGATCGAAGACAAGAGATTACTGTTTGATTAAACTGAAACAACCCATTAACTGGAGTTCATTCACATTCAGAAATATTAGTAGTAGTATGAGTGCAGCTTTAGATTACATGACCTTGTTTATTTAAAATGTATATATAAAGGTTTCACTGTGTCTAAACAGACAGGCAATAAAGTTGTCTATCAGATGATCTAATCCTGAGTCTGTCTTCAGGGTCAGATGAGCTCTTGTTGTTATCTACAGTCAGGGTTTATAATGAATTAATTTGGGGATATTAAAAACGTTTTTGGAACTGCCGTGACAACAAGAGCACCTATTGAGAAGTTGTTCATTTAGGGTGAAGCCGCGTGATTCGCAAACAACGTTTTTCTTTGGAAATAAAACTTTGGGAAACTCCTGATTCAGCATGACTTCAAGATTTAAAAAGTACATTCAAACAGATCAGCCTTTAAATATTATTTTATGTTCTGACAGGAGGAGCCCCCTACCCTGATCTGCCCATGAACGAGCTGTTCTACAGTGCCTTAAAGAGAGGCTATCGAATGGCCAAACCTGACCACGCCACCAATGAAGTGTAAGTCTCTAGAATGGCACCAAGAAGACCATCCCTCCCAAAGACCTCTCTTAAAGAGTCATCAGGATTCTAGTCTTGTGTGTCAGAGAGAATTTAAGAAATTAAATTGATATTTTCTGTACCTTGTCCTCCAGTTATGAAGTCATGCAGAAGTGCTGGGATGAGAAGTACGAGAGAAGGCCAGAGTTCTCGTTTCTGGTGCACACAATGGGGAACATGCTCACAGACAGCTATAAAAAGGTACCCTATTCATATACAGGGTTCTTCCCCTTTACATAGGGCATCTGAGGACCAAGGTATTTCCACGTTGACATATATGAAATATGTGTGCATCGATTATGTATGTATGATTCATGTATCAGTTGGGTGTTTATTGATCGTTGACATATGTTATTGATTGTTTATTGGTGTAGAGATACTGCCAGGTCAACGATGAGTTCTTCAAGCGCGACCACCCAGCCGTGGTCCACACCAAACCCAGGCTCTCCTCTCCCTTCCCCACCCCTGCCTTAACCCCCTCCACCGCCCCTGCCATCCCCCAGGACCCCAACCCCTACCCCCTCACTGGGGACTTCAGACCGGAGACAGATGGTGAGGAAGCTTCCTACAATGACTACATCATCCCCATCCCGGACCCCAAGCCTGAGGTGGAAGGCTGCTCTGAGGCCGACGACATGCCAAAGAAAAAACTTGCAAGGTATAGCCATCTGACATACGGCTATATGACTGACTGACTGCAGGTGTGTGCCAAGTGCTTGGCATGCAGGAAAGATGAGGCAGATTTACTCTAGAGGACCTTGTATCGTTACAACACCAACCCACACAGCCAGATGTGGGATTGAGACAAAAGCTGTCTTATGTTACCATGTATACATTGTGAGCTATAAGGATTGTGCATACAGTACACAGGATATTTAAACAGAAATCTAAGACGAGCCAAGATGGATTAAAAGTGATAGTTTACATGGAATGTACAGGTGCCATACTGTGCTTAATGCCTAGTTTTCACCTGAAATAAGCCATAAAATCCCAGGTTGGTTTGTGAAAGAACACGTGTGTTGTTATTCCCTGTAGTTCTCGGGCTCTGGAGGAAGAGGAGGCTGATTCCATCTCCCAGGAGACAGTGGAGGCAAACACCATTCCAGAGGAGGAGAATCTCCACGCCAACCAGGCCCTGATTCCCCTGGAGTCCTCTGGAACACCTGAAGCGGAAGACAGCTTCCTGTAGGCCTTTCAGGGAACTTGGTGAAAGTATAACAACATTCCAGAACAGCTTTAGTGGATTAAGAGAAAATGTTGAAAATTAGAAGGCGACCCTAACAACACAAACAACTCCCACTGCTTTAGCAAATATTTCACAATTGGTTCTTTCAAAAGAATGCTATGCTGAAAATCTATTCAAAATCAATATTTACTATGAGAGAGTGACACATATTTAATCATTGATGATTGTTGATTGATGATGCAAAATGCTCCATCTTGAAGAGAGGGAATGACCAGTATCACATAATCATTTACTTTTAAGTTAGGGATTCATGATTTGTAAAATACTGAAGCTTTGTGGTCACTATTGCAGTGTTTCTATGGTGATTTGTCTTCTAATGTGTTGTATTTTTATGTTATGAAGATAAAAACATTAGGCCTCCAAAACCCTTTCAGTTTTGAAAATCACTAGAAGTGGAGCATGTACTGTTACATTTTGCTTGTGCGAAAAAGTTCAAATTTTCAGACAGGTACTTTAGTTAGTAAAAAAAAACATTAACACATAATCTTATGACGTCTATACTTCTCATCATCAATTGGATTTGACATTCTAGTTGCACTGAGGATATTTTTTGTGTTTTTTAGTTACAAATGCGTACTTTATACTTTCTACTCCAAGTTATTTTGCGAGAATGTAATTCATTTTGAGAAGAGTTAAACATACAGCCTTAATTGAGCAGAACATTGTACACTCAGTAAATGGTATGTCTCAAAATATCATTTTATGTTGTCTTTAGTTTTATATAGATTGATTTTTACATTTTATATAGCATTTGTTTTAAACAATTCTGTATAAATGTTGCACTTTACAATGTTTAGGAAAACATTTCCAAGAAAAGGATTTAAGGTACAGTCAATAAGAGATTGAATGATGTATGAGAGATATTAAATAATTGTATGTTTTTACACGGAGGTACTGACTGAATGAGAAATAATCTGAGCATATCACTGCCTTAGCACACCTGGTACAAGATTAGTACGTTGTTGTGTACTGTGACGATGACTGACATCTTTGAAGTGTTTTGTATTGTATCAAGTTCTATGAAAGAGACAAATAGTAGGCCTATAGTATCCTTACAAAAGGATATAAAATAAGCATTTCTATGCAAGGAGATCTTCTACAGAAATGTGGCTATAGAGATTTGAATCTATATTATTGAAGTAATTATATGATACCTGAGATAATTTGTCACTTGCTTAGAGTCCACTCACAGAGGTTCTCCTATCGTTACATACACTTCCAGTGAAATATAGATGATATGCTTCCTTGTACATATTTGTCACATGGTATAGGAACACAGAATGCAGAACACACACCCTACATAATGTAGAATATTCACCACACACACGCTATGGTACCAAAGCTTCTCTGTATGTTTACAAATGTATTTTTATATGTAGTTTATAAGTGTTTATGTGAAAATAAAAGTTTATAATGAAAATATGATAGATCATTTTATTGTGTCTTTACTGTCTTCTTTAAAATTAGCTAATGAGGGAAAGTTCCTGTTGTCTATTTTTTATTAGTTCAATGACTTGCAGTGTTCTGCTATTTAACAGAAAATATGAATTGCATTGTTCAGCTGTCATAATTTCAACAACATGTGTTTGCTACACAGACTTGTTTTAAATGCTTTGGCTTTATTCAATCAATGTAGAAGAGATAAAACTTCCCCACATTAATTGAGCATAACTCAGAGAGCTAGCTGATGAGAATCAGCAAATCCAAATGAACTTCCCCAAGCCCGGCTAGACTTAAATCATCCCTTCTATAAACCAGTCCTATCAAAGCCTCTCTTTTTCCAGCCTTCAGCAGAAACATCCCCCCCCCCCCCCCACCCCCTCAACACACACACACACACACACACACTCTCTATACCCTGATTCCATTCTGAGGGCCATCAAAGAGGTCTTTTACTGTCCTCCCAGAAGCCCCAGCCCTCTGCTCCACTTGTGGCTGAGGACCATGGAGGCCTGGGCTGGGGCTGGCTGGGGCTGGCTGGGGTTGGCTGGGGCTGGGGCTAGGCCGGCAGGCTAGGCAGCAGTGCAGCAGTGTGACCATAATCACCAGAGATTAGTCTCAGCTCTCAGCACCATGGCATTAGGATTGGGAGGGCCGGACTGTTTGCTAACCAAACCGAGATGCATGGTCATTAGCGGGGAGCGTGACACCTCTGTCTGTCTGTTTATATCTCTTTTAGTGTCTGCGGGTCAGACTAAGAGAGACGGCAACAGAAGAGAGACAGGGTTGGCGGGACTTTACTCGCTCCTGGATGGTGGACCCATACAGCTTGGTGAGGACAGATCTTACCACAGCGCTGAAGACATCTACAGGTACAGTAGAGTTCATCTGATGTATCCAATCTTAGCCATGTTACAAAGTAACTATTATTAATAGCATGTGAATCACATTTGAATAGGTTTTCAGTAAGTTCTGGTCTATATTTCCAGATTTCAAAATGACACATCCTAAAAGTTTTTTTTTCCCAATCGTCCGTTGGAAAAGAAGAAGTGTATGACAGTGAGTGAGTGACAGCAGAGCTCCAACCTAATGATTCCTCATTTCTCTCCTTGACCACAGACACAATAACAACACTCCTAGACATACAGACATAAAGCCAGACACAGAGCTGGAGAAGATCCAGGATGGTGTTGTACCTGGCCTTTCTGCTGGGGATCCTGCCCACTGCAGCTCAAGGTAAGACTCAACACCTGTTTTCAACTGTACTGGATCATATTGGGATTCAGGTTCAGGAGGTGTTCATGTGTTGGTTTGGTTGTGTTGTTTAAAGTTTTTTTTTAAGGAGTGGAGCAGTCCCAACAATAAGAATGCTCACTGTTATTGGCTGGAGAAATGTAACCACTCTCAAAGTCATAGACAGAGCTATGGATGCAAGGACTGACCATCCATGATGTCAATATTATCATTTTAACCATTCACGTTGTTTACAAATATTAGAGTAAAACAAGCTCATATTTTGAGTTCTACCACATGAAAAAATATTATAGTATACTATGGTACATGTATGAATACTGTAGTATTCACTGTGGTGTTTTTGCGGACTTTATTGTAGTATTCAATGTAGTGTTTTTGCGGACTAAAGTCAATACTGTAGTATTTAATATTTACAGTTAACTATAGTATAAATACTGTAGTAAAATACAACTGTAGTATATAATATAGTAATTCATCTAGTGTTTTGCAGATTGTAGTACAGTATACTGTAGTATTTACTGTAGTGTTTTTGCAGAATTTAGTATACTGTAGTATTTACTGTAGTGTTATTTGCAACATTACTGTAGTATTTACTACAGTGTTTTTTTGGGGGGATAATACTGTAGTATTTACTATATTATTCTACAGTATACAGCATTCTATAGTAAGTCCTACACATGATCAAGGTATAATACAGTGTGTAGTATAGTATTCTACAGTATAATACAGTTTACTACATAATTCTATAGTAAGTACTGTAGTATTATATAGTAAACGTTAGTATTCTTTTCATGTGGGCAGTTGGGTACGACAGTTGAACTAAGCTCATGAGGCATTACTAAGTTATATTGTTCAAGAATCAATGGGTGCATATCATTCATTTATTACTGTAGCAACTGCAGATTGCCCCTTTACATGTCACATCACATTGCTCAGACAACATATCAAAGAAGCATGTGTTGTTGTCCTAATTCTTGCTAAATATTTCTGTCCTGCTTTTCACTGAGTTCTTGAATATGGACAATCATATGTAGGAGAGTACTGTCCTGTACATGTGGCTGAGGTCTTGAATATGGACAATCATATGTAGGACAGTACTGTCCTGTACATGAGGCTGAGGACTTGCTCCATTGTACCACAGCCATGTGTATTTGATAAGTAGCTAGTATACTTGGAGTCCATAGGAAGGTGGTGTGTAATGTTATCAGGAAATCTGGACCCAGAATGCAGAATAGCACAAAACCAAGAACAGTCCCCTCCCTCTGACCCTCTGGGGTTGAGCTGTGGACTGTGTTAAATAAGAATATCTGCTGAACTACAAATCTCAGTTCTGCTTTGAGATAAAACAAGAAACAAACATACTTTACATGTAAGAACGAATGGATGGAACACTTAGGCTACTCTAGTGTTGAGATGTTGTCTTCTGATCCATGGTTTCCAAATACAGCAGAGTGGATGCTGAATTAAACTGCACCATGAGAGAGCCCAAATGAACTAACGACCAAATAAGGTGTTAAATGTTTAAATGAAGAAAATAAATAGAAATGTCCTTTAAAGCCATGTTCTACTGGAGATTTTTGTTGGTTATTGAAACCCCCTTGACCCCAATGAGTTGTTGGAGTGTCTCAAAGAAGGCATTGTTTGTCTGTGTATCACCAGGCAGCAGTTAGCTTTGTCACACCCCAAGGGAGAACTTCTCCATGGTCTTTACACCCCATACAGCTCCCTCTATCTCCCTCTATCTCCCTCTATCTCCCTCTATCTCCCTCTATCTCCCTCTATCTCCCTCTATCTCCCTCTGTCCCTTCTATCCCTTCTGTCCCTTCTGTTTTTGGAAGAGAAAACCTGTGTTTGAGGGTGTAAAAGGGCAAGGCAATAAGAGGGTATGGGTAGTCTATAGGAGACTTTGCATGGTGGGGTCATTAATAGTTAATATGTCTGCTTTCATTGTGACATAGATACTGAGCTGAAAAGCAGAAGTGAGAGAGGGAATGATATCTCTCCTTTAGGGCCAGCGCTGCAATGTGTTTCTTGAATTTGCGGTGTCCAAGTTAACTCTTGAACACAGAGTGACCAACACAACTTTCAGTTCTCCTCAGTCTTCTTGGAAAGGTCAAAACAGAAAGAAATAGTGATCTGAGATGAGTTAATGAACACCAATTGATACAACCATGTTTTGAGTTTCCTGGTCGGTTCACATGGTCAATAAGTAGCCATCCTAATCATGAAAGTATATGTCCATGTACTGCTATAATAACAATACAAACAGCCCTATATAGTGATGTAGCTGTAACATCTCATGTCCTTGTTTACCTCAGCACAATGGCGGCATCCTGTAATCAAGCTCAACTCCCAACTTGTGGTTGGGCCTGAGGTAGTACTGAACCCTGGCACCCCATTAGTCCTGAGGTGTGAGGGGGATGGGCCAGTCAACTGGCTGACCCGGTTGGCCAAACACAAGCGCTTCATCTCCAAGGGCAACGGGAGAGTCAGAACCTTCAGGGTGGACCGTCCCTCTGCAGAACACACTGGGACCTATAAGTGTGAATATACCAGTGTGAACGTCAAGGGCCAGGACTTGTTCTCTACGGTGCACGTGTATGTGAAAGGTAAGCTCAGAAGGGTACTGAGTTGTTGTTTATTTACCATACTTGTAGAGAGAGTGTGTTGACCAGCATCCCTCATTCTCCATCAGACCCAGCCAGCCTGTTTTGGACCAGCAGCACGTCCCTGCGTGTGGTGAGGAAGGAGGGGGAGGACCACCTGCTCCCCTGCTTGCTAACAGACCCAGGGGCCACAGACCTGGGGCTCCGCATGGACAACTGTACCTCTGTACCCCCAGGCATGAACTACACAGCAGACCCCCGCAGAGGCATCCTTATCCGTAACCTCCAACCCAGCTTCAACGCGGACTACGTCTGCAGCGCCAAGCTCCACGGGGTGGAGAGGACCTCCAAGGCATTCTCCATCAACGTCATTCAAAGTGAGTAAATTAAGTGTTGTGGAGGGATACTTTAGATAATGTGACCAGACCTAAGTCAAAGCATACTGTACAAGCTTGATCAGGCCCATGGTCCGTACTGTACCATACTTTGCAATGTGTACAAATTAGATATTTTCAAAATTGAGTTGAATTGAAAAAGAAGCTTGTGCATGTTACTTTATTATACATGCCGTGTATCTGGTTCCCTCTGTTTTCCAGGGCTGCGTTTCCCACCTTACGTATTCCTGGAGAAGGATGAGTATGTTCGAATCGTGGGAGAGAAGCTGAGAATCCACTGCACCACACACAACCCCAACTTCAACTATAACGTCACCTGGAATTACAGCTCCAAGAAGGCAAGCACTGTCAAAGTGTCTGAAACGACCTATTTGTTCCACTGTCAGAGTTTCTGAAACAACCTATTGGTTCCACTGTCAGAGTTTCTGAAACAACCTATTTGTTCCACTTTCAGAGTTTCTGAAACAACCTATTTGTTCCACTTTCAGAGTTTCTGAAACAACCTATTTGTTCCACTTTCAGAGTTTCTGAAACAACCTATTTGTTCCACTTTCAGAGTTTCTGAAACAAGCTATTTGTTCCACTTTCAGAGTTTCTGAAACAACCTATTTGCTCCACTTTCAGAGTTTCTGAAACAAGCTATTTGTTCCACTTTCAGAGTTTCTGAAACAACCTATTTGTTCCATTTTCAGAGTTTCTGAAACAAGCTATTTGTTCCACTTTCAGAGTTTCTGAAACAAGCTATTTGTTCCACTGTGTCACAAGCTGTAGCTCTATCCCATAGTTGGCCAAAACAAAGTGCATGATAATAGGTCTTGAGGATAACATTTGTTTTCCTGTCTCTTCTTACTTCTTACAGAGATCCACCATAGAGGAGAATGTCCAGTCTAAGGACAGCCGTCTGGACATTGAGAGCATCCTGACCATCCCTGCAGTAGACCAGTCAGACACAGGGAACATTACCTGCATTGGAACCAACGAGGCTGGAGTCAACAGCTCTGCCACCTACCTGCTGGTCGTAGGTTAGTTACTGGATAACTGGGTCATTCCATCAATTTTCCACAAATTTTATGAAGTTGGCTTTAGCTAGCCCAGATAAGTTCCCAATTTCCCAACCTGCTGCATGTTCAAACGGCATTGATCACTTGCACCATGTACTTTTAATGTAATCTCAACTGCAATCCATGTCATTTGGTTCTGCTATTAAATGGAGTACAGTGATAACACATTAATCTGTCCTATAAATAAACAAAATGTCTGACATTGTATTCACATTTTAACGTTGATGTGATTTTAAATGGTTGAAAGCGTAGTGATAGACATTTGGGTGACAACTAAACCAAAAATCAGGCATTGTTTTTCAATTGGAATTTGGTTGTGGTTTTAGATGGTTGAAAGCATAGTGATAACACATTGGAAATTCAACTAACTTTTGGCTGTCTTTTTGAGTGGGTGAATATAGGTTGTAATCTCATTGATCAAAGTCTCAACCAAATATTACCAAACTATCCACATTGATATGACGTGATGTGCCCAGTGGGTAGGCATTTCGCTGTCATAGCCAGTGGTAGTTGTGAAATAGACACCTGCTGGAATGTGGTTTTAACCAATCAGCATCCAGGATTAGACAAACCCGTTGTATAATAGAACACATTCCAGTCACAGAACAGGACCGCATTCATTAGGGCAAACTGCAGCAAATCTTTTTGCAAGGGAAAGTATTTGTTTTCTTTCATTTGGTGCCTCAGGAATACAACCCTTGATAACCTTGAATATAACCCTTCCCATGTTTCTCCGTGTCCCTGTCCAGAGGAGCCCTACATCCGTCTGTCCCCCCAGCTGTCCTCCAAGCTAGCCCACCAGGGCCTGTCCATCGAAGTGAACGAGGGGGAGGACCTGAAGCTCAGTGTCCTGATCGAGGCATACCCTCAGATCATAGCCCAGAGCTGGGACACCCCCACGGCGTCGCCCACACAGGAACACATCTTCACACGCTACAACAACAGGTGAGCGCAACAAGGGGATGGGAACTGACTGAATGAGGCGGTCTGGCTGTATTGGGAAGATGTTTGGGGCTTTGGGACAAAAGCACAGCAACAGAAAACGGGTGTGAGACAGTGTCAATGTGAAATGTTCACTGATCAGAAGCTGACTTGTTCATAGTAAAATGTAGAATGGGGAAGCATCAGTTTATTAGTTCATCTGATACAAACTCATATGTCACCCACCAGTCCAGAGAGTTCTATATTATGAAACCAGAGTTAAGGGAAGGAAGGAGCTACTGTAATGTTTTACCTCTGTGATGAGGCATAGTAGCAACAGTCTGAGGAGAATCATGATGTAGTATTCAACACACCACACCATCTGCACTCATTCCTCTTTTGTTAAAGAGCTCCAGTAATCTCGTTCACCAGCAGGCTCATTCTCTTTCTATATGCGGTAACAATTGAGCCTGCTGGTTAGACTCCGGTGGTTAGATCTCCAGTGGTCAGATCTCCAGTGGTCAGATATCCAGTGGTTAGATCTCCAGTGGTCAGATCTCCAGCAGTTAGATCTCCAGTGGTCAGCTCTCCAGTGGTCAGATCTCCAGTGGTTAGATCTCCAGTGGTGCTACATCAGATCCTGTCTGGTTTCCCTCAGGTATTCCGCTACCCTGCTGCTAAAGAGAATGATTGCACAGGAGCAGGGCCAGTACACCTTCTATGCCAGGAGTGCCATGGCCAACGCATCCATCACATTCCAAGTCCAAATGTATCGTAAGTATGAGTAGTCTGAATATCTTAACACAGAGACATACTGGTACATATGCACAGTGTCAGTTCATACATCCACTCTCTGTGGAATAAGAGTTTTTATCACAGCATCTATTGACTATCTTTATCTGTATTTAAAACATGGTTTATTTGACCATGCTCTCTCGTGATTGGCAGAGAGGCCGGTTGCCGTGGTGAGATGGGAGAACATCACCAGCCTCACGTGCACGTCGTTCGGTTATCCTGCTCCCATCATCCTCTGGTACCAGTGCTCTGGAATCCGAGCCACGTAAGTGTTTGCATGAGGGATACTAGAGGGCAGTGGTATGATATTGTTGTGGTAAAAGAGAGACTTAATAAACACAGATATACCTGTCATTGATGATAGGAGAGACTAAAGAAGTATAATGGATCATTCCACCAATTCGATGCCTTTTGAGAAGTGTAACTTGGTAAAAAAAAAAAATCTGTCATAAAGAGCACATGTTTTCCCATCTCAAGAGGTTAAATTACAAAAATGACTTTAGTAAGTGCCTATTAAGTGCCAAATAAAGTAATGGTTGACCGTAACAGGGTTGAGCGTAACAGGGTTGACCATAACAAGCGGCAATTGAATGCAAACTTCACAACAACAACAAAAGTATTCTTAAACATTTCTAGCCTATCTATCTATGGGTAACAAGGTTGATGTGTTATGCTGGACCCGCTCAGTTTTCCACCACAAAACACCAGAAAATCGGCAGAAAGTGTAGAACTAGCTCACCTGCTTTTACACTATGATTTGACTATTGTTCAATGTTTCTTTTGAAAAAAACAATTAAAAAAGGAATAGTTTCACCATGTTAAAATTAGAGTTTAATTCACTTGTCAGGGTTGACATTAAAATGAGGGACAGATGTAAAAGATGACTAATCACACAAAATAAATAATAATCTTCAGAAATGACTTAATCAAACCAACAAAATAGCTTGGAGAAATGTTGGGATTAAGTGGGTTAAAATCTTCCTAGAAGTCACAGAGGGTGCACGGAGGGACAGGTCAAAATGCTGAATTTTAGCACTTTAGCAAGTCTTTATTCATATTAAAAATCAGATATATTGAATTCTCCATGTGGTCTATATTAAACGGCACTTAAATATTGGTGCACAATTTCTACTTAAAATATCAAAAGGCACTCTTTTCGCAGAACAACATTACTATGTTTTGTTTTTAATACTGACGTATTGGATATCATAACTAAATGGGGAACTCAACCTATCTCTATCCATTCCTATGAGAACAGGTGCAATGAGAACAACACAGGTCTCCAGATGCCTGCTCCTCTCCTGGCCCAGACGGTGGAGGTCCAGAGGGAGGAGTACGGGCCGGTCGAAGTCGAGAGCGTCCTGAACGTGGGACCGTCCAACCGTAGAATGACCGTGGAGTGTGTCGCCTTCAACCTGGCCGGAGTCGGCAAAGACACCGTCGCCGTGGAAGTTCCCGGTAAGTGTCAAAGCACGGTCATCCATGGCTATCCTCATGGTTACTGTTTTATCCTTAGTTCACACTCCTTGTTCCTGTGTCATCGTAGTCAAGTACATGAACTGTCCGTTCATTTGTTGATTCAGATTGACATAATCTGTTACTTTAGCTACAGCTATTCTTCCTCAGTTCTACATAAACCCATTACAAAACCATCATACATAGAACATTCTGAGTGTCATCTACACGTTCCCTCCTGACTCTCTGTCTATTCTCTGATTGGATAGATAATGTGTTGACCTCCATCCTATCGGGAGCAGCTGGTGTTCTGGCCTTGCTCATCCTGCTACTCATCATCCTGCTCTACAAGTACAAGCAGGTAGTACACACAACAGCCTCTGCCATACAGAAAATACACTGAGAGACCAGTATGCAATCTCATCTAAAATAAACCTTGGCAACAAACTGATATATTAATGAATAGAGTATTCACAAATATCTCTAGTTTCAAATCGTTTCCTTTTAGTCAAAGAAACAATGGAAATCTCTTAGTTATTCAAATGGTTGACGAACATTTCCTTCCCTTTGCAGAAACCGAGATATGAGATCCGGTGGAAGATCATCCACGCCAGTGATGGAAACAACTACACATTTATCGACCCAAGTCAGCTGCCGTACAATGAGAAGTGGGAGTTTCCCAGGGACAAGCTCAAGTTAGGTTTGTGACCTTTTCTTAAATAGGGTACTGCAGTGGTTTGGTTCTTTGGAGTTAGATCTTCCACTCTTGGGTAATACTTTGTATCTTGATTTGAAAAGGCAGCGCTTACTGGATGGTGAATGCATGGAATCTCAACTAAATTTACAACTATAAAGTGTATTTATTTACGAAAATAAAGTATATTGACTTACAGTTACATTTGTAAGTGATGTGTTGGCTGTGTGACCTGCAGGGAAGATCCTAGGAGCCGGGGCCTTTGGGAAGGTGGTGGAGGCCACAGCTTATGGTCTGGGGGAGGACGACAACGTGATACGAGTGGCTGTCAAGATGCTCAAAGGTCAGAATCCTTGAAAAGAGAAAGCTTTTTAATCCAAGGGTAGAATTGATTAAAGTCTGCTAAAATGGCTGTGATCAGAGTGGTACAGGGTAATCTCTCTCTCTCTGCAGCCAGGGCCCACTCAGATGAGAGAGAGGCACTGATGTCAGAACTGAAGATCCTGAGTCACCTGGGACAGCACAAGAACATTGTCAACCTGCTGGGAGCCTGCACTCAGGCAGGTGAGAACGGAGCACTCTCTATAAAAAACATGGAAAACACATATGTATTTGAATCAAATTTGGCCCAAAAAATTTCAATTCAACCATACAGTACATTTGGAAGTTTAAAAGCTCTCAATCAAAAATGTAAAAATTAATGTGTCTTCTCTCAGGACCCGTACTGGTGATCACCGAGTACTGTAGTCATGGAGACCTTCTGAACTTCCTGCGACACAAGAAGGAGACCTTCCTGAACTTTGTCATGAACATGCCAGCGGTACCAGAGGAGACCAGCGACTACAAGAACGTCTGTGAGGAGAAACAGTTCATCAGAAGGTATGGATCATGTTGTCATGCACCAAGCTCATGAAAAAGCAGGTGGACTCTCGCTCACCTTTATTCAACATTCACAGCAGCAGCCTGGTGAAGTAACCACTTTGTCTGATTAGCCTCCTCCCGAACCTCCCCGTCTGATCCCTTCCTCCCCTCCCTCCACCAGTGACAGTGGGATCTCCAGTGTGTCTTCTGACAGCTACCTGGAGATGAGGCCTGGTCCCCAGCCTGTCAACTCCTCTCTGGGTAAACAATCTGTGATAATCCCTTCTCATTTATCAAGCACCAGTCACTGCACAAGTTCTCTATTCTATTGTTCTTTGTCTCAGTTGGACATTTGGGTGGACATCGATATATCATATTTTATTTTATTCTATTCTATTCTATCAGACTCTTTGTGTGAGGAGAGTGGGCCAGACTCGTGGCCATTGGACATGGATGACCTGCTGAGGTTCTCCTATCAAGTGGCTCAAGGCCTGGACTTCCTGGCAGCCAAGAATGTGAGTCACATCAACACAAAGTTTCAAAAAAAAGCTTGCGAATCAAGGCTTGTATAACTAGGCATATTTCACAGTTTGAGATTATGTTTGGTGATAATTGGTCATACTATATTTTCTTAAATATCATCTGATAGGTAGAGATTACCCACTGGGCACAAACTGGTTAAATCAACGTTGTTTCAACGTAATTTGTCAACATATTGTGACGTGGAATCTACGTGGAAAATACATTGGATTTGAAATAAGTCATCAACTGTTGTTTTGAGGGTAAAATTTCAACCACAGGATTATGTCAACCCATTTTCAACATAGACAAAGCATTTATACCTTTTTTTTTGTACCTTTGAAACAACATCAGATCTTCAATGTGATATCCACTATAAGAAAAAAACAATAGGCTGGGCCGCACCTCCTGGTGGGGAATTGATCTATCTACAGCTATACATTCGGTCTTTAACGAAGCTCAGCCCTGCTTAGCTTTGATATTTGTCACTGACTATTACCAATGTGATGTCGTGAGAATGATTGTTGAGAGATCTCCACTTAATAAATTAACTGTTGCTATCGAAGTCATTCCAAAGGGTAGGTTCAACAGAGCAAATGAAATGTAACCATACTTTATCAATCATATATCATCAATGAGGCTATTTAGGCCTATATCTAATTTGGGAAGTCATCAACAGCTTGTTTAAATTCAACCCAGGATTCAACTAAAAATAGACAATACATGTACAGTGAGGGGAAAAAAGTACCAGGGGGTCTGTAGTGACGCCTCAAGCACTGAGATGCAGTGCCTTAGACCACTGCGCCACTCGGGAGTGACTGTATTTAAAGTACAGAAGTCAATATTACTTTTGCAAGACAGTAAATAGCCTAATGTTAAGGCTATCTTACAAACAAATGTAACAGTATTTACTCAACCTTAAAATGAGTTACACATTCATGGCCATAGTGGGCACAGGGGCACTCAGATTTGTCCTATTGAGCATTAAATAAAAAAAATTACAAAGTACATTTTTGTTATTTTTTTATTGTTGTTTCTCTGTAATGCTACTAGTCACCTAGCAATTTCATGAAGTTGGCTTTAGCTAGCTAAATAGGTTCCCAATGTCCCAACCTCATAACTAGCTACCAAGAAGCCATTTCAGGCTATCAATCAAGTTAGAGTAGCTAGCTTGTTCTAACTACTTTAGCTGGCATGCCTGCTGGCAAGGTTGGTAGACTTTAGAAAAGCAAGCAATTAGTAAATGTACTGAATAAGACTCACATTCCTTTCAATCTTTTAACCAGATTTTTGCAGAGAGGCAGAGAAGCATATTTTGTTTCTTTAAAAAAAAGAACCACCAGTCAGGAGGCTCAAGAGGTATGCAAAAAAAAATATATATATACAATTTTACATACAATTAAACAAAATGAGTATGGCTCTAGATTGCAGGAAAAAGCTGTTTAAGGTGATTGAATATTTGGAAAGTCTCCAATTTACAGACGACCTTGCCCCCCTACCGACCACCCTACTACACCCCCCCCTCCCCCAGCCATAAAATCTAATCAAAATCTAATGTTATTTGTCACATGCTTCGTAAACAACAGTTGTAGACTAATAGTGAAATGCTTATTTACGGGCCCTTCCTAACAATGTAGAGAGAAAGAAAATATTAATAATATAAAAATAATAACATGAGGAATAAATACACAATGAGTAATGATAACTTGTCTATATACACAGGGTACCAGTACCGAGTCGATGTGCAGGGGTACGAGGTAATTGAGGTAGATATGTACATATTGGTAGGGGTAAAGTGACTAAGCATTGTGATGAGTCAAAAGAGTTAGTGCAAAAAGGGCGAATTCAGATAGTCCATCCTGATGTACTTTGTGCCCCCTCCGATTTTTGGGTTACTGTAACAATAAATGTCTTCTTATGTAATCATAGAAAGTGTAAATGTTCAGGGTTTCAGATCTGTGGAAGTCTTCACAATTGCTGTAATAATCTGCACAGAATCTCAAATGGAATTGATCACTTTAATGTAATCTCAACTGCAGTCCAGGTCATTTGGTTGTGCTATTAGATGAAGCACAGTGATAACACATTAAGTTGTATAAATAAACATTTGAACTTTGGTGTGGTTTTAAATGGTTGAAAGCGCAGTGATAACACATTTAGGTAACAACTAAACCAAAAATCTGATATAAAATGTTTCTTGCCCAGGGACCCCCTCCCAGGCAAACCGGCGACCCAGGGACCCCCATTATACATTAGCAGAAAAATGTGACCCCCATCATATGTTAGCAAAAAATATATAATTCACATCAGGTGAATGATAATGGCAAGGAGAAGTAATCAACATTTAAAAATGAATAGATTTGGTAGATCGTTTTTCATTATGTTGACCTCCCACATTATAATTAGAAGAGGAAGTGTAAACTCTAACATAGCCTATTAGCTAGAACGGTAACTCCAAACACATTTTCGCCAAGAACATCTGTTTAGCTGGTTAAACAAAGGTTAGCCATGTGTTGGCAAAAATGTATGTCCAAGTCAAGAAAGCTTACCTGCAGCCAGCGGCACTTGCCTCACTGGTAGCCTATTGACTGGTAGCTTATTCGCGGGTGCTTTTTCAAAGCCTACGTGAGATACATCAGTGAGTGTAATTGGCTCCAGTGAGTGTAAATTGCTCAGAGTTGAGAAATAAAGTCGACATCATTAGAAAAAAGATATTCTCCTCTTTTCTACTGTAGGTATGTAAAAAAAAAACATTTTTATTTCTGCAGTACCTTTGCGGGGGCCACGGACCCCCGGTTGAATACCCCTGTTTTAAATGGTGGAAAGCATAGTGATAACACATTTGGAATTCAACTAACTGTTAGCTGGCTTTTTGAGTGGGTGAAAATATGTTGGAATCTCATTGATCAACGTATCTACCAAGTATTTCCCAATTCCCCACGTTGAAATGATGTGGTGTGCCCAGTGGGTACGGTTGAGAGCTCTTTGTGAGGTTGTGGTAAGCCACTATAAGTGATCCTCTCGCTGTCTGTCTCTTTCTCTCAGTGTATTCACCGGGACGTTGCAGCCAGGAACGTTCTCCTGACAGACCGCCGTGTGGCTAAGATCTGTGACTTCGGCCTGGCACGTGACATCATGAATGACTCCAACTATGTGGTGAAGGGCAATGTGAGCAAACAACAACAACCTCAAATGAACAACCACCTCAATAACAACATTTTCTGTGTCAACAACAATTATTTCACGTGTTTAAGGGCCCGGGCCTGGGTTTCTACTAAACTATATGGAATTGTTTTAAGATGGTCATACCAAGGATCATTTAGATATTTGATTTTGAATTTTAGGACCCTTGTCAGTATAAAAAAATATATTTAAAAAAATTATTTGATGAAACATTGAATTTGGCCTTACTGCTGTTAGCCCATAGAAACACATTGAATAACATATTAATACTTGGAAAAACAGATAGTCAAAAAATAAATGTTTTGAAGTGTCCTATATCTGAGAGATATAAGAAAGATCGGAAACTATTATAGTTTTAAAAAAAACATATACAGCCCCTTTTTAGGCACTAAACTACGTTCATATACAGTGTACTTCCATTCATTTTTCAAACTGGTTCCGGGGGATATTCAGATGAGTCTCGTGAGGCTTGTGGGTGTCCTAGAGCAAAACAACTGACATACGCGTTCGTGAGGGTCTTACCTTTCGAGGGTCATATTAGTGTTTAGCCCAAACTGTTCAGACATTACAGAAGTTGGCAGATCGGTGGTTCCGACTTCAGACGAGTCCATTGGTGCTTGTATTTGTATTTGTATTTATTACGGATTCTCATTAGCGGCTGCCAAGGCAGCAGCTACTCTTCCTGGGGTCCAACCACAATTTACATACAATAAAACAATACATAACACAACACCTTATTACACACTACTCTACCATAACATATTTACAATACAAAATCAATAATTCAGCAAAATAACAATATTAAAATGTGTGTGTGTAGAGTGCGTGTGTTAGCATGTGTTTGCGAATGCTGTGTGTGTGCCTGTGTGTCTCTTCACAGTCTGTGCTGTTCCATAAAGTGTAGTTTTATCTGTTTTTAAATCTGAGTTTACTGCTTGACTGAGTTACATGATGTGGAATAGAGTTCCATGTAGTCATGGCTCTATGTAGTACTGTGCGTTTCCCGTAGTCTGTTCTGGACTTGGGGACTGTGAAGAGACCTCTGGAGGCTCGTGGGGTATGTATGGGTGTCCGAGCTGTGTGCCAGCATTCCAAACAGACAGCTCAGTCCATTCAGCTTGTCTACACCTCTTATAAAAACAAGCAGTGATGAAGTCAATCTCTCTTCCACTCTAAGCCAGGAGAGACTCACATGCATGTAATTAATGTTAGCTCTCCGTGTACTGTTAAGGGCCAGCCGTACTGCCCTGTTCTGAACCAACTGCAATTTTCCCAAGTCCCTCCTTGTGGCACCTACCACACTACTGAACAGTAGTCTAGGCGTGACAAAACTAGGGCCTGTCGGGGGTGGGGGTCTTAGAGCAAAACGGAGGACACCATCGTGTTCGTGAGAGTCTCATCTTTCCATACCCAACTAAACCATTCTCCTGGTCTGACAAACACCACTGTAGCTCTGCCACCTTCCTCCGCAGATGCAGAAGGCCGACATCGGTGGATGTGGTGGATTCAGACGCAGTCTATGCAAAACAGATATACAAACACATCTAGCTTAAACGGACAGATTTTAATGGGGACTTCTGTATTATGCTAATTAGATTTCCACGTGGGCGCGGACATCGACTCTAGGGGGAAAAGGTCAAGACACTCCATATCTCTGTTGCCTGCAGTTATGGCAAATGTATTTTGCTTTGGAGGTTGTGTTGCATATTAAATATAAACGTTAAATATACACATTTTGATATGTTCCCTCACACCATATGCCTGTAGGCACGTCTGCCAGTGAAGTGGATGGCTCCAGAGAGTATCTTTGATTGTCTCTACACTGTCCAGAGTGACGTCTGGTCCTATGGGATCCTGCTATGGGAGA